GGGAGGTCAGCGTGGCAATTGTCCCCGCACGCCTGGTGACTTTGCGAGAGAGACGGAAGACACCGTGAGGACGAGAGGTTATGACCCCCTCTCCCCCGCCGATCGTCGCGCAAGTCGAGCCAAACAAATATTCTGAATGCGTCCTCCCGTAATTCCCCCCCACCCACCCACCCACCCCCCCACCCCCCGAACGATAATTCAGTGCGTCTCGACATAATTGACAAACGAATTTGCGCCTGATTAACATACGAATTGATGCTCTCTTTCCACACGCACGTGGGCCCATTTGCATACGAAATGCGGCGATTGACCGTCATGCAGGCCGTGCTGAGTAAGGGGGGGGCACAGTGCAGTCTCTGAGCAGAACACTCTGACAACTCTGCAGCCACCCCCTTCCATTGAAGGGAGGGGGTCAGGGCAGGGTTCAGGGTTAAGAGCACAGCGGCAATTACAGGTTTCCCTCGCTCTGTGCGGCTCGCCTATTTCTACCCAGAAATTCTCTATACCGCGTGGTTGAAATGCACTCTACATGTGGCTATGCGGTCGGACGTGGGACAACGTTGTGTACTGTGTGTATACTGCGTGTGTACTGTGTGTACTGCATGTACTGCGTGTGTACCGTGGGTGCACTGTGTGTTCCGTCTGTACTGTGTGTGTGTGTGTGTGCTGCGTGTAGTGTGTGTGTGCTGCGTGTAGTGTGTGTGTGCTGCGTGTAGTGTGTGTGTGCTGCGTGTAGTGTGTGTGTAATGCGTGCGCTGTTCGACATGCAGCTGTCTCCTCGCGCGGTGCATTGTGGGTCGGGTGAACGTGCAGTCCACTCCACGCGATTTCGCTTTGCGCGCATCTGCTACTAATACACTACTACGAACGCACGGAGCGAGGGGCACCTCGATTCGAATTGGTCACCGGATCCAAGATGTGACCGTCATCGGAACAGTTGCTCACTAATGTCACGACCAGGCGCGGGTGCACAATAAACACAGAGCCACCTCGCAGGTTTCCCCACGGTTGAGCCGCTGCGTCCGTCTCCCGTGCGGCGTTGGGGTCGTTCCGCGTGTCGGTTGGCGCGACGACGTCCCAACGTTTCAGCTCCACGTGCCCCGGGGCAGCCTCTCCAGAAACACGCACGGCACGCTCGGGACGACACCACCTTGCGTTACCAGTCCCATGGAGCGCGTGCTCAGTCGAGCGTCGACTCGATGGCTTATTCAGCAACACTGCTAATTGCACGATGGTCTAAATAATAACGTAATAGTTTACATCCCTCTGCCCCCCTACCCCTCCCCCCCACCCCTCCCTCACCACTCCTCGCCAACCCGACAGCCCATAGCTTTGCCTTGCTGCTGGGGAGTGGGTGGGTGGCGTGTGTGGGTGTGATCGTGTGATGCCGAGTGGGATTTAGTGGGGAGCGGTAGTGTAGCGGTTGTCGCACTGCACTACGAAACCGGCAAACCCCCTTACAATCCACTGCTGGACGAAGGCTCCCCACTCCCGCCTGCCCCCCCCCCCCCCCCCCCCACTTGCCTTGTGAGTAGTGCGGGTTTATTTGACCATGCTTCACCACATTGGTCAGTGCGGTTTGGTGGAGAGTGGGGGGCTGGGTGATGGTTCACCTAGGACCGAGTTTAGTTGTCAGTGGCCACTGGCGTTAACCGTAGCCGGGGAGTGAACCTCAAAGGCGCGAAGTTCGTGGTGCAGTGCGCGTGATCTATCGAAACCGCAGTTCCGCCTCTTGGGAGCTTCCTTGGCCAAACAAAAACATTCTATTGATTTTTAGAAGCTGTCTGGTGATGTCACCAGAGTGTGCCACCAAAAAAAAATGTCTCGTGAACGAAGCTTCCCTTATTCGAGTTCGACAGCCTGAGGCACACGGCTTCGGACGCCGAAGATAAAAAGGTCAAGGTGCTTCCCTGCAGTTGTTTGCTCTTACCATACTTCACCGCGCTGGACATTGGCGGGTTGATGGAGGCGGGATCTGTTCAGTTTACCGCTGATGGCATCTGGTGAGCCACGGCCTAGGAATTGGACCAAGGTCACCGGGTCCCCGGTGCCCTCCACTTCTGCCACCCACCGCCCCTCCGCGTGGGGCGAACCTGTTCACGGCGAACGAGCGGCCCGTCGCTAGGTGCGGCGTTTCATTTCCGACAGTGCCCGTAAGGTAAAATGCATGAGCGATAATCACCGTAGTCGAAACCCTCGCATGCTGATGTCAATCGGTTTCCATTTCACAATCAGCAGGCGGTTCGAGTTAAGTTTCTTTCTTATTTTTTCCCCATTTGCACTCTCGGCATCGTCTCGCGGGAGGTGAAACTCGTCTCCATTTGGAACACTCGCGGGAAAGCAGAACATCGCCTGGCCTCGGAGAAACGGCCCCAGAAGATGCCGTTGCTGAACTACGTGCGAAGCCTTTTCCCCTCTCCCTGCTTTGTGTTAATTTATCGAACTGCGTCCGTCTTTCGCTTCGATAGGTCACACTACTCGGGGGCCAGTAATTCCCGCCTGCTCTAGCACAACGTGATGTTCAGACCAGTATTGTTCCTTCTTAAGAGCTGGAATTTAGCCGGATTAATAAAAATATCATAACGCAGTTTAAGTGCGCGCTTCGTGGTGACCAGGCAGAGAACACCGATTAACTTGTTACGCTCGAGAACCCAGTTTGACCTTGAGCTGCTGCCTGCATTCTAACGCCACGATCTCTGCACCAGGGCTGCCTGCATCCTAACCCCACGATCTCTGCACCAGGGCTGCCTGCATTCTAACCCCACGATCTCTGCACCAGGGCTGCCTGCATCCTAACCCCACGATCTCTGCACCAGTGCTGCCTGCATCCTAACCCCACGATCTCTGCACCAGTGTTGCCTGCATCCTAACCCCACGATCTCTGCACCAGTGTTGCCTGCATCCTAACTCCACGATCTCTGCACCAGTGCTGCCTGCATTCTAACTCCACCATCTCTGCACCAGTGCTGCCTGCATTCTATCCCCACGATCTCTGCACCAGGGCTGCCTGCATCCTAACCCCACGATCTCTGCACCAGTGTTGCCTGCATCCTAACCCCACGATCTCTGCACCAGTGTTGCCTGCATCCTAACCCCACGATCTCTGCACCAGTGCTGCCTGCATTCTAACTCCACGATCTCTGCACCAGTGCTGCCTGAGAATGAAGGGAGGAAGATGTCGGTACATTAACAAGGTAGATAGAGTTGGAGGTAGGATATAAGGGAGGGAAGGATGAAACCGGAGAGGGAGGTAGGCACATAGGCAGACAGGCGGGGGGGGGGGGGGGGCTCCTTCTTCATTTGTGCCGAGGTCTTCTGATGGCCACCCTCCACCCGTCAGCCTCCAGGCACCCCCTGGCGCTAACCCCCCCCCCCCTCCCTCGGATCCATCCATGATCGCACGACTCCCTCGATCTCGAACCCTTTCGGTGTTGGAACCAAACCGATCATCTGCTTGCGTGGGTTACACGAGCCCCTCCCCACTGACGTGTTCGATAAATCGCCTCCAAGCACCACCACCTTCTAGCCACGCATTCGGAGGCTCTCGGCCCAGCTGACGAAGGACGGACGTCAGCCCCTTGGCTGCCAGGCCGACACACGTGCGGAGGGCGACTCTTCGAAAGGATTTTTTCCCCGCCTCCGGCCGGCGTTTCCCTTGCCGCACCACAAGAAGGGGGGCGCGGCTCTCGTCACCCTCATCAGTTCTCAAGCCCTCGTAATTCACCACCACCTCCGCCGCTTATCGCGAGCGCAGATGAATCGCTCCACTTTGTCCGATATTGATTCGTCTCGGCCTGATGTTGGTGGGGATTGTAGGGCGGGGGTGGGGGGCGGGTGGTGGGCATCCGGTTACATTCCCGGGACCTGCTCGGAGCTCGGCGGGGTTCGGGAGGGGGGGGGGCTAAGAGGTTTTTGGGGCGGGTGACGTCGAGTTGGGAGCGCGTTTTCCCAGCTTGTTGTCTCGGTGTGCGGTTCGAACCCGGCGGCCGCCCTGGTTAATGCTGCGCCGCCTGCTTTCACAGCAGACGTCAAAGCAAAAATACGGCAACGTTATTCGAAACAGATCTTTGCCGGCGTCACGATCTGCATTTGCCAAATGTGATAAAAAATTCCCGGGAAAAAATACTTACTTTGGAAGCAACATTGCAAGCTCCGACTGACGGTACGTTGCACTTCTTTCGCACCAAACATAGCCAACTGTGCTAATCGGTGGTGTGACCAGCACCACACCCGGCTGCCTTTGTCTCCGCCGTGCTGACTAACACTCGCTCGCGGGCCCGGCGCTGCTTCATTCACCTTGTGCCTCACAGGGACAGCTGCATGCGTATCCACGTTCTATAATCGTTAAGTGATAACGATGAACCGCGGGGTTTACGAAACAAAGAAAGGATTAATGAATTGCACAGTGATTCACCTGTGTGTGTTTACCACTCACGGACGCAGATTGGCTTTCAGTAATTCACACGTGTACACATACATACATACACCGGACTGTTGGAGCAAGTGCTGTTAGCGAGCACCTATGAAGGCCGACATGGCAAATGAACGAGGTGATGGTGGGTGACCAGCACCATCCTCAGTGCTGCTGTTTACCTTACTCCACCGGGTACATGTTTAAGGTTGAGCCAACTTAGGGGAGGCTCGGGACCGGTTCAGATATTTGTCACTGATGTTGGCCATGAGCAGGAATCGAACTCGGGAGTCGACAGGGTTCGTAGCGCAGTGCGCTAACTGCTACGCCACTACTCCCCACACACACCACAGACAACTACATACACCACACACGGCACGCACCCACCCTCACATGCTCACTAACTGCACAACACACACGGGACAAATCAAGTGTCTGAGATCTTCGTCTTTCCTTCCCCTGCTCCCCCCCCCCCCCCCACAGAAGAGGAGTGGGGGTGGCAGGGTGTGTGGTGGAGTGGTGGGAGCGAGTCGGAAGATAATTGATTAATTGACGGAATTGATTAAACGCGTATTTTGTTTCTCAACAGATAATTGAAGACATTTTGGACATCGACCGCGTGACGGCTCACTTCTAACCTGTGGCCGCCGCGGCGCAAGCGGACGGGCGGGAGGGCGGCAGTGGCAGCGGAGGATGGAGGGGGGCGCCGTGGGAGGCATGGTAATGAGCGGCGCGGTGACCGCTGCTGAGCCAGCGGTTTCTTTCGCCTCCCGCCGAGCCGCGCCTGGACACGCATCGCGCCCGACGACTTAACGGCGGGCGCGCGGACGCGGCTAAAGGGGCCTGGTGGGGGGGACGCTCGACTCCGGCCTCCTCGGACACGACGCGGCGTTTCATCCCGATTACGCCAACTGGACTCGGCACCAGAAACTAACATCTGTCCGCGTGTTCGCGGTCGGCATCGCTCGTCGTCGTCATCGACATCGTTATCGGCAGCAGCAGCAGCAGCAGCGGGCGTGAGCAATGCGCTGCTGGATGAAGACCGCACCAAGTCGCCACCGTTGCCCTCCGCCCTCCCCACCCACGGTCGCGCAATCCAACTGACCAACCACAGCGCCCTGCGGCGCACGAGGCGATTCCGTCGTTCCGTCTCCGCGGTGGAACGTGCTCCGTCTCTCGGGACGAGTTCTCTCTCCGTTGGGGGCGTACGCAATGGCTGTTGCGCTGTTGCGGTGGCCGTCGCAACTGGGGGGAGGGGAGGTTCATCCGGATTGCGTTTTCACATCGACCTGCGCGAGAGCCCGACCGCGGTGTGTGGGTGTGTGGGTGTCGTAGCGACATGCCCACACCGCGGTCGACGCCGGGACTTCGGCCGGTGACTTCGCAAATCGGCTTACACGCAAGGTCGCCGCTCGTGAATTAAACAAAAAACAAAGGCAATTTAGCGTCATTTTTTTTTACAGCCGTTTTTAATGAATTCACAGCTTGTGTGTGTGTGTGTGTATATATAAGGGTGCGTTCGCAGTGGCTTAATCGAATCTCTAATTCCTAAGCAAAGTGGAACAGCTGCTGCCGCGGTTCCTGCAAACGGTGGTTGTTGATTTTTTTTTTGCTGAGAGCAAAATAAAAACCCTTCCTGCTAGACAAACGTGTCGTGGCAGGGGAGAGTCTGTGGCTTTGCCATTGAACAGGATCACTCTGAAGTGAATGATTTCAATTTTGTTTCTCGCTGTAAAAAGAATAGGTGAAGGCGCAGCCCTACAATAGCCTGCTGACGCCGTTGCTGGCGATTAGAGCCTCCGCTGGAGGGAGCTCGAGAGAGAGAGAGAGAGCCCTCTCTGTCGATCGCACTTTGGCCTACCACAAGCACGCCGGGCAGACAACTCGGAAGAACGAGGTGGGAGTTTTCCCCACGCTTTTCCCCCATCGCCTACCGATGACCTCGACTGGTGCACCAACTTACATGGCTGGGTGGACAGAGGTGAAGGGAAACCTCACCCCCCACCCCCCGTTTCGACTATCGCGCGCCACGCTGGTCAAACGTGCAGACCTCTTCCACCGCAAGCCCCCCCCCCCCCCCCCCCCCGTGCCACCAGCAGTGGCACCTGCGGCAGCTCTATCCCACTGCTGGTCAACGTATTTGAGTAGCGCGTTGGTGCCAAGTGCCATGCGTGCGTCGTGTACATACGGATGTCGTGTGGCTCTTTTTGTGTATCGATAAAAAAAAACGGGTTGCCGTTTTCCGTCCCACCGCAGGGACCCCTGCGAGTCGCCGAGCTCGTGGTCTCCTCTGTTCGATGTCTCACAGCGAGCGAGCTGGGCGCAGCGCGTCCAGCTCCGCTCTGGCCAGGCGCACTGAATTCAATTGCGGGGAAATCCAAAACAAAGATTTAGAGACGTCGCCGGCGACTTGTGTCGTTTCTCTCTCTCTGTCTTTGGATGAATTCATTTTTCTCGCGCGCTGGGGGTTGGGGGTGGGTGGGGGGGAATTCGCTTGCCATCTGTGTTTTGAACGCACGACTGTTTCCAGCTCTGCGATGAATCGCTGGAAGCAAAAGGGGGGTCCGAACAAAAGTGTAAGCGCGAGAGCCATGATTGTTTTAGGGGGGGCAGCGTCAATATAAATGGCGGGCGCCGATACGTAGGCGGTCATTTGTGTTGCTTGTGAATGTTATATTCGCGAAAAAATTTTCTTGTGATTTTGATACCTTGTTTGTACGGCGGCCGTTCGGTGCTGAATGGATTAAAACAGTGTGTGGCTGAAACTTGCACCGATCTTTCCATTCTTGTGCAGCTGGATTTATAAACATTTACAGATGTTTCTATCGAGATGAGTGAAGCCATCTCAGACCAGTCACCAGCCATTGTTTTTTTTTTCCATTGCTCGATGAAGGCCTCTCCATGTATTCAAGAGTATTTGGCTGCAAAATATTTCCACATGATCAGCCACTTCATTGGGCTATCGTTTGTGGACCAGGTCGCTTCTGAAAAAAAGCGACATCGCAGCTCAGTGGGGCTTACCCGGTAAAATAAAAAAAATAGTTCCGTTTTTTGTTGTTCATGCTGACACCATCTCTCAGTCTCACAAAGCCATCTCACTCCTGGAGACGAGCTCATCACTTCACTCCGTGTCTATGATGGCTGTCCACTCATTCCTCATTCTGCTGGCATTCTTTCGCCAGTGTTGTCCATCGACCATCGCCCGGTCTAGCGACGTGTCGGTGCTGTCCTGCTGTCCTCAAGTCAATATCATTTCTCTGATTTGTTCCCCGCATCTGTCCTTCCCGTCGTCATTGTAATTCCGGGCGTGTAACCTCTCCACGCTTCTCGCGCACGTTGTGGCACCCTTGACCAGTGCCGTGTGTTGAAGGCATTTTGTAAGCATGCGTCATTCAGCAGTTGCCAACGCACTGGAATCTAATCTCCATTTATATTTACTGAGCGCCTTCACTCGAGGCGCTTGACGTAGCTTACAAAGCGGTGACCGCATGTAATGATGTCGATGGCAGGGGCGTGCTACAAGGATTGAGGAATGAGTGACCGCGATAGGGGGGTGTACTTGGGGATCACGAAAGGGCTGTAAGGGAGGGACGGGAAAGGAGTGGAGGGGCGAGGAGAGGGAAGAGGAAGCGAATGGCCAAGAAAAAAAGGTGAGCTTTTTAAACATAAGTTATCGGTGGGGCAGGCAGGTGATGTTAGTCTTGTGTTAGTAAACTAAACTAAGCATTTATTTTGTTTTGCCAGGTAAGACCCCCGAAGCTATATAACAATTTTTCAGAAGCGACCTGGCCACACGATAGCCCAACGCGGTGGCTTATCATCATCATCTGGGAATGTATAGCCGCCAATTACTCTAAAACGCATGTTTCTAAACCGGAGGACCCCGAGAAAAATCGACGTGACCACGGGGAGAGCAAGAAAACTCCCAATATACAGCAGGCGTCAGGGTCGGGATCAAGGCCATGACCTCCTGTATACCGCGCGAGGTAGTTAACATCTCGCCACTGTGGCACCCGATGGTACTGAGACGTTAGTCTTGACCACTGGCTGTCATCGCGGTGATTGGGAGATGAAATCAACTCCCGTGCTGGCGCTGGAAGGGTTGTTGCATCGTGAGACCATGCGAGATGGCGGCGGCGGCGGCTTGGGAGGCCTTTCATCCAGCAGTGGAATGATCACGAATGACGACGATGACGTTCAACTTGTAACACGCTGCACGGTGTCACGCTCGCTCTCGATGAGAGAACACGATTCGGAGGCGCGAGGAAGAATTGCAGCGGGAAAGGCAGCAACCACGCAAGCGAGCCGAGTTCGATCCCCACTCAATGCCATCAACACCAGTGGCTGTTGTCTGAACGGTCTTAGACCGTGGTGCTGGCGACCCACCTCGTGTGCCATTCCGGCTTTCGCAGCTACTCGTCAACAACACTTGCCCCAACAGTCTGTTTAAGGCTATACGGGGGATCTTTGCGTCCTTAGTTCGATATTCCAGGCGACTGCTGAGATTCCTCTCGACCAGGGAGGAAGCAGGAGGAGGAGGAGAGAGGAGAGAGACGTCGCGCGTGTGACTCCCCGCCTGGGTGGGATTGTTGTTGCCAGCGTGAAGCAACAGAGGGAGTCGCGATGCGCTTCTCGAGATGACTCACGCCGTGGACTGGGAACGCGTGCCAGTGGTGTGCGGTGGCTGGAGCGATGAGATTGGCTTCGTGTGCAGCAGGTGACGGCCTGTGAGGTGGGGGGGTGGGGGGTGCGGTGGGGGGGGGGAGGAGGCCTTCATCCAGCAGTGGATTGATCATGGCTCATGATGATGATGTAACCGAAGAGTGCGTGGGAGTACTGCATATCCATTCACAATTCCGATCGCAAAGGCCACCGGACAGCTGCAGAAGAGAAGAGAAAAAAAAAACCGAAACAGCAACGTGTATAATTAAGTAAACGCTTTATTATTAATTGATTACTTGATTAACGTGAAGTGGAGCGTTCAGGAATAATGAACAGACGGGCTCCAATGGTAACCGTGGGAGGTGCCGCGTGCTCGGCGATCATTCGTCAGCGTGATGTACAATGCGGCCAGGCGACGTATTTGTTCACGGGCACGCACAGACAAAGGTCCACCGTGTAGCCCGCACGGGCTGTTGGGGGCAAGTGCTGTTAGCGAACGCGCAACGTTCGAGGGACCGACACGGGAGTGGCCAGCGATCGCGCCGGGGCCGCCTTTGCCTCTCCCGGGTGGCCGATGATGCGCGCGCACACCAAAGCAGACGCTCATTCAAAGGTTGACCTCGGGGAGGTGTCCGGGCACCGCTGCAGATATTCGCCACTGATGTTGGCCGTGAGCGAGAATTAATCGAGCTCGGGAACCCGTGCCGGGTTCGTAGCGCAGTGCACTATGACCAAACCGCTGCGCCACCGCTCCCCAGCGACACACGGCGACGCAGATCGCCCCCGTAGAGCCTCAACAGACTGGGTGGTGGTGGTGGCCACCACCACGCCCCATCGTCTCTGCCTCCCCGGTGGCGATGTTTCCACGCCGCACCAGGTACTAGGGGAAGGTCCAAGACAGTTCAGACAATCGTCACTTGGTGCTGACGGCCGCGAGCGTTCGGCGGAGGGCGCTGACCGCTCCACTGACCACGACGCAGACGTCACGCACAGCCAGCGTGAACTCGGCGCAACTGACTGCACCGGGAGTTCGGCCAGGACAGCCGTAAGTCACCAGAATCCGTTCATTTAGAAGCCATCGAAATCCCACCACGTTTGTCATCAACGCTGCGTCGTTATAATAATCAGTTTGACACAAATCTGGCTGTCGCCTGATGAAGCTGGTTGTAATTACCGGCGAAACGTCGTGCTGAGATTGTAAATTATGTGGATTTGCTCTCCAACACACTGGTTAGTGCTGTACTAGTATACTACACTATATACTAGTGCTGTACTAGTATACTACACTATACACTACACTATACACTAGTGCTGTACTAGTATACTACACTATACACTACACACTAGTGCTGTACTAGTGACGAAGTGGTCACGTTCTGTTTACGTGACAACCCTTGATAGTTGGCTGTGTCGGGTGGTGGCGGGTTTTAACGACACAGCATTTATATTTACGCGATCTAACCCAAGAACAACAAAAAAAACCCGCAAATAATAGGAATGTCTTCCTTCCAGCCCCTTTGCCAATCCACTGATGGGATGAAGGCCTCCCTCTTTAGGGGGTTGTCTGATTGCACATCACCGCGATGGTCGGGCTCGTGAATGGGACAAAGCTCCGCGCTTTGAAAACCCGACACCCGAGTTCGATTCCCGGCTGCGACGCGAGTTGCTGGGTGATCGTCTCGACTGGCTCTGGCGGGACCTCCGCCGCCAAAACAACCCGGCACCGACCAGCGTGGTGAAGTATGGTCAAGCAACGACGGACACCTATCCCGCGGTTGAGTAACATTCGCGATTAATGAAGGTGTCGCCGCTTGTCCAAACGAGATGCGGGTGTAAAAGATGGAAAAAAAAAGATGTCAACACGTGGGTACATCAGCCCCGTTAGTTGGCCTTTCGACATAAATTATTTTCAGCAGCAACTCGCAGCCAGGACGGCCTTTGGACGTGACTGTCCCTCCACCACCACCACCACGCACTGACCAGCGTGGTGATTGTGGTGGTCGTTGGGCCAGGTTTGGCCGCCACACTTTCCCCGTGAACCAAACACTTGCGGCGCTGCCGGGGTTGACCATGGTCTGTCAATAACAATGGCTTCTATTTGACCCTGTTGTTGTTATTGTTGTTGTGCTCGCTCTGTAAAGTGCAGGATCGGAGACCAGCGAGGAAGAAGGGGAGCGGAGGAGGAGCGCAATGTGAGTTGGTAACAATAATTTCGTTCCCGTAGCCCAGGGTGTCGAGACTCGTCACACAAAAGGTCCCCGACAGAAGGCCCCCGGTGAGCGCCGCGGGGCAGCCGCTCACGCAACTGGCTGGGTGGGGGAGAGAGGAGGACGAGGTGGTGGGGGAGGCTGAGCCACTCCCGCCACCCAACCCAAGGCTCACACCTCCACCCCTCGTCTACATTCTGACAGTCAAAGTCAAACGCGTGCGGTGTCAAACGGAACTCTGGTGAACGGTCAGTGCAGCCTCGGTCAGGGCGCACCGTCAAACTCACCCCCCCGCTTCGCCTTCGTTATTCTGCTGACAGCTCAAATATCAGCTGAGCCCTGGGTCGCGCGCGTAGTTCGCGGTGTCTCTCTCTCCCCGCGGTCACGCGGATTTTTTTTGTACCCCCCCCTCCCCCACATTCAAAATGAACATCACGCGTTCAGAGTAATTGGCCGCTGCGATAAATTAGTAAGCCACTCCGCTGAGCTACGATTTATAGCCAGGTCGATTCTCAGGCTAAGCCGACCTAGCGGAGGCCCAGTGCCGGTTCAGATAAATGTCATTGATGTTGGCCGTGAGCGGTAATCGAACTCGGTTCGCCGGGTCAGAAGTGCAGCGCGCTAACCACGATACTACCGCTTCCCCACCCCTCCCCCACACTCCCCTCCTCGCCAATGCACCGATTATCCCCATCGCACCCGTGCCCCCCCCCCACTCCTCCTCCGTCGCCTGCTCCCTCTGTGTCTGGGTCAGCCCCGCGTGCAGGCCACGGCAATCATCTGGCCACATTATGCATGGATCATCCCCCTGGATTGACTCGCGCGCCCACCGCCCCGCCTCGCGCACTCTGACGGCACAAAGACGAAGATCCCCACCACCTACCCACCCATCCACCCCCA